GGCCACCCGCCTGAAAGCAGCCCCCCCCCCGACCCGGCAGGCCAGGAATAGGACGGCGGCTTCCCGGGCCCCCCCCCGGTGCTAAACTTGGATGCAGGCTGCCAGCAATACAGCCGGCCATATTAAATGTACCCTGGACTTGGCCCGGGCCCAGAGCCCGTGGCCTCCGGAGCCTTGGGCAGCCGGCCATGAGGATTACGGGCGGTGAGGTGCCTGCAGGGGCTCTGGCGGCAGAGCCACACGGGTCTGGGGTGCCACATGGGTGACAGCCTCCCGTCCCGGGGAAGGGGGAGGTCCCCCTTTAGGGACCGACCCCAATTCCTGCCCGATACCTTGAGCTTTTTGCCCTTGTAAGGATTCTTCACGTGCTCTTCGGCGTCCATAATGAGCTCCGTGAGGGTCCGAAACTTCCTCACCTGCGGGGGAACGAAGGGCCACAAACATGAACAGGCTGCACGCGGGGGACAGGGCAGATCCCAGCCACGCTCGGCACGGCATAGACCCCCAGGGTTTCGTAACGCCACCGCGCAAACGACCCGTCCCAGCGCCTCCAAAGGGTTCGCAACGCTGACAGCAGCGGGATGGTGTTGGCACTAGGGGCCAAGGACTCGGGGCGCTGAACTCGAGCAATTCAAACAGCGCTGGGAGATCACTGGGACGCTCGGTCCCTCTCGCGGAGACCCCTCCGAGCCCCGCGCGGCTGTCGGTTACCTCATTGGAAATCTCCATCCACTTCATCTTGCACATCTCCCCCGAGAAGTCCTTGAAAGCCACTTTCTCCCAATCCAGGTGGGACTCGGTGGTTTTGAACTTGCTCCCGTCGTTGGAGGGCAGGTTATTCTTCATGCACTCCAGCAGAGTCAGCATGTCCTCCTGAGACCAGCGGTCTGAGCAGCAAAGAAACAGGTTTAGCAGCAGCGGCAGGCAGGCAGCCTTCCTGGCAGGACACGGGGACTACAGCTCCCGGCGTGCAGCTCCGGACCGCGCGCCGGGACACGTAATCTCCACATGCTGCCTCTCGAGATTAAAGATCAAAGGGACACGGCTGTTTCCATCACCCCGGAGCAACTTTCTACGGGCCAAAACAATCCGGGCAAAGCTAGAAAATCCACTCGGTGCAAACCAGAGAGACTCGCTCATCCCAGTACGCCATCAGATAAGGCGATGGCTCTGCCTCGCAGGAGCAGAGGGCTATTTCCTACGCACAGGAGCGAAGTCCTGTGGAGCGAGACGGGAGCGACACGCTCTCCAGCCAAGGAGAAAACAGGGAAGCCCCCTTTCTAAGTGGAAAAAGATGTGTCCGGAGCAATGGGAAACCCCCCCGGCGCTGCTTTGCCTTCAACTCGGAGAGCCTTGCCATCACCTGGGACCTAGCTCCATGTTGACCTCTGCCAAGGTCAAAGCTCAGGGACCACAAAGCAGGGGGTGGCAGAGCCCAGCACAGCCCCCCTGTATCGCAGTGGGGTCCCTGACGGCGCAGGGGTGGTGGTTATGCCACCCCAACATCCCCCGAGCTGCCTGGAGGAGCGTCCCCAGCTCCCATACGGACAAGCTGCCAGGATGGTGGGATGGGCACGTGGCAAAGCCGGGGCGCCTGGAGCGACCGGGAGGCTGGGACGGGCAGCAGCCCCGT